TAATCTGTGCTTTTCACTGTGAATAGTATTATATTTAGTTTTAATGTTTCTTTAGTTAATTGTATAATAAAGTTTGGCCAAACCGTTAAGATGCCTTTCTTGCCTTCTAATTCAACAGTCTGTGAAAATCCCTTCATTATAAGAGGGGTTTTGAAATAAATATTCTGTGAATCTAAAAGAAGGTTTGTAACAGTTTTCTTGGGCCCAGCTAATTGATCTCCTTTATGAATTTATTTTAAGACGAGATAGATAGCTCTAAAATTTACCTACTTACGAGGTACTAGGCCTGCCTGCCAGAGATTTTATACATGTTGTCTCAGTAGTTATGTGATGATAGAAGTGAAGGAAATCGCCAAGATTTCTAGAGATTCCTAACCTCACATGCCCTCAGCCACTAGAGATTTGTTCAACAAGCCCTTGGAACTCTGGCACTCCCGTAGTCTCTGCTTCTCAGCTCCTACAGACATTTTTTCTTGCAAGAATGTGGGCCTAGGACTGCCAGATCTTCCTATTTTTTCAAGAGGAATGAGAAATTAGAATTTTTGTGTGAAGTCTCCTGTTTTATTGGCTAGTTCAAGACTGAAACAAAGTTATGCATGAACCAAACAAAACCTTTCCACAGGCTAAATTTGATTGACTTCTTGTGCAGGACCTCTGATCTGGCCTTATGTCCCTGAAAATAAGACCCATATTGGTTCTGTAGGATGATTGTAGTCAGTGGCTCACTTATAGCAAGAGAGTGACAGCCATCTCCATTGTAACAGGGTTGTGCCCCATGGAAATTGTACCCCAGTTCATGCATTTACAAGGCACAAAGCGACCCAGTAGTGACACTTAGGCCATGGGTGAGATCACAAGCAACAGGGAAAAGGCTAGATACACTCATAGGCCTTTCTAGCTCTAACCTTCTATGAAAACCATGTCAGACCCAGGCAACATTTTCCAAAATTAAAAAAAAAAAAGTGTGTGGTGATGGATGTTAACTAGACTTATTGTGGTGAGCATTTTCATTATATGCAAATATTAAATCATTATATTGTACACCTGAGACTAATAAAATGTTATATGTTAATTATATCTCAAAGCAAAAGGAAGATGGAAGTTATCACTTGATATGACTTTCTTTTTATATGACTTTTTCTAAATGTGTTGAGTGGACTTTTTTTTTTTTTTTTTTAAAGTTTATTTATTTTTGGGACAGAGAGAGACAGAGCATGAACGGGGGAGGGGCAGAGAGAGAAGAGACACAGAATCGGAAACAGGCTCCAGGCTCCGAGCCATCTGCCCAGAGCCTGACGCGGGGCTCGAACTCACGGACCGCGAGATCGTGACCTGGCTGAAGTCGGACGCTTAACCGACTGCGCCACCCAGGCGCCCCTGGACTTTTTATTCTACATCTTATTTTGATGATTCAAACAGCAATGTTCCCATTTTTTTTATTGTGATGGTGTAGTTATGTGTTTTAATGCATGGCCATTCTTTAGGACAGTAAAAAACAGCCTATCTAATATAAGGCATGCCTAGAATATTAGTTCTTCTACCTTACGAAGGAAGAGTTAAAATTTAGACTGCACTGTATATATGTAATTAGTGTGGTATTTTTGCGGTATCAATGCTTACATTAGACTGTCGTTAAAATGACTTCTGATAATGAGATTAATTCTGTGATAATCTGGGCCAATCCTGAGTCACGTAAACATAAAAATATTTACAATCTGGAAGGAGGTTTTAGGATTTCACTATAAATGGGAGAAGAGTGAGAGCCTAGACACAGGATTAAGGTATGTGTGTGATGGAAGCAGGAACAGAGAGCGTGGCACACTTGCTAATCTTTCCATCCCCACAAAACTCAAGAGGGCATCTCCTGAGTATTCCAAAGTACCTTCCTAGTGCTCCAGACAGGATCAAAATTACAGTGTACAGAAAGAACATACAAGAGCATGAAATCGTTTCCAGAGATTATGAGACCTAAGACATGGCTCTGTCCATCCTGTAACAGGGTGAAACCAGCATTTTTATCAAGATGGGAAGTGAAATTCAAGAACATTAAGTGTCATAGAAATGCACTGACCGTGCTGCATCCTGTTCTTCTCCCGACAGCCTTTGCATTTAGACACCCACCCATTCTGCCACACCAAACTCATGTGCGGAGCCCTGTGTGGATAATTCTAGGCATCCTGTCCAAGCCTCTGGAGGAAACGTGCCTAATTAAATCATCAGCATATGACAGAATGCTTAAAAGTCAGGATCCAAAGATAAATATTGTAAAACAATGCTTATTATGAAAACACTGAAATTACAAATTTAAATGCAAATTTTAGTATTTGTTGGACACCATACATCGTATCCCTAAAGGAGGGCATATAATCCTTCGCTTGTTATTCTTCACACTTCCCAGGAGATGGGCAAATGGCCAAGGAAATTTAGACAAAGGGAAGTTCAATGACTTTCACAATGTAAATCTATAATAACTCTCATACCACTTCTACTTACATGAAAGTAGTATATTCAACAGCATAATGATTAAAATATAGATATAGATTTTGAGCAGTAATGGGATTAATGTTAGTAATAGCTTTTTTTTCATTTTGAATCTTTTGATTAGATTCATGAGTTTAATATTACATTAAAATTTGTAGATATATTTGAAATAGTAATTCATAAGACTTTAATTATATAGATAGCTCACTTTGCATATTCTATTTTGCCTCATGATCTTAAAATATAGATTATTTTAAAACATAAAATTCTTTTCAAGCACCTCAAGAGCTTAAAAGTTGTTGGCATAAAATATTGTTTTACAGTGATAAGGATTGCTTTTCATATTATTTCATTGGCATTAATACTGCATCAGTGTGAGGTGGGGGAACTTGGCGATTAGTTCAGGTCTCACGCCTTTCTTGGGGCATTTCTTCTTAGGTAATGTCATATGATACCAACAGTTGTCATCTGCTAATAGACTTCCCACAAATCTGAACCAAAAACTCTAGGCACGCTTTTTTTTTTTTTATCAGCTACAGAACTCCCTACACCCCAACTTTGGTTTTAAGTCCTTCCTGATTTTTCCCTGTACAATTGCATGTACACTTTCTCTCTCTAATTACAGATGTGAGGTCACAGTATGCATACTATTTTCTAGCTTCCATTTCAATCTATGCATTATGTTGATATTTTCACATCATTAAAAATTCTTTTATAATATTTTAATGACTGGTATATATTTTATTATGTGGATGGACTATTTACTTAATCTACTCTTAACAGAATTTTTTTCTCTTTTTAAAAATAGATAACATCCATACTGCTAAAATTTTGCATATATTCATAATTGTTTCATTAGGATTAATTCCTAAAACTACAATTGTCATGTTGAAAAGAATATAAAATCTCATCACTGTTTTATGGAAATGCATGATTACATTACCATATGCTTTATACATAGAGTACCCATGTCCCTAGACCCTCAACAACAAACTGTATTACCAGCATTACAATTGTTGTTGTTGTTGTTATCATTATTATTTGCTTGTCAGTGTAATAGGAAAATGGCATTCCATTGTTCTAATATGCAATTCTTTGGAGATCACAGAGGCTGAATATCATTTTATACATTTCTGGTTATCTAAAACAAAGAGACAAAGGAGGGGAATTTCCTAAATGTCTGTAAGTGGTCCTGTACAATTTATTCAGTTTCACTGTTCCAAGAACCCTCACTCTAGCTGCACACAGATGACAGTAAAATTATAGAGATGTAACAGTTAGTTCAGTGAAAGGGACAGTTCAGTCAAAAACTCTGACCAAATTTCCTTTTAAAATAAAGAATACTTATAATTTAGTGAAAAACGTGAGACTAATTTTCACAAGTAGATGCAAATGATTTAGATGATTTCATTTTCTCGGCAACATATAATGTGAAATATAAATCTTATTGAAACTGCATATTTACTTTGATGAAGTGTTACATTTTGAATATATTTAATCTTTTCAGTTTTTGTGCATTTACCTTCCTTTTTCAAAAGCAACTCAATTCAAAATGTGACTTGAATTGAAAATATTTTTATCTGTCTTTGATTTCCAAAATCATATTAAATGATCATTTATGTGATATATGAGATGTTCCTTGAAATGTGTCTGTTAAAAGACTTAAAACATTATTGGCAGGAAATTGGCCTTAGTAAGACTGAGTTAGCCCTTGCTGTGTAACAAATTTCCCCAACATCTAGAAGCTTAAAAGAACAAATGTTTATTATCTCACACATTTTCTGAGTATCATGAAGACAAAGGCAGCTTAGGTGGGTGGCCTGGCTCGCCGTCTCTCAGGGGATGGTAGTGACACTGTTGGCCAGAGCTGTAGTCTCTGAGCACTTGACTAGGCTTGAAGGTTCTACTGCTACACTCACTCACATGGTCAGCAGACATTTCCTCAACACATGAGTCTCTCCATAGGGCTACTCAGGGCAGACATGGCTTTCTGCAGAGTGAGATTCTAGGGATAGAGTGGGATGTCAATACCCTTGTTTTAGCGCTCCGAATTACAGAGTTTTCAAATGGCTAAACCCGAATGCAGTTTAAAAGACTCTTCTGCTCTTTTTAAACACCTCTCATCTTCTTCGTTTTCTTGTGGATTTAACTAAAATTCCATTGTTTATTTTAAATGAAATAAAGAAACTTTAAGTATGTGATTTTAAAGAAACATCTAATTTTCTTTGTATATGAATCCTCTCTCTTGCAAGTACTTAGCTTTAATACTAAAATTCTTATCCTTCTCTACTTTTTATTTTAATAAACTGTCATCATGGCTTCTCCTCCAAAGGTTTAAAATGAGAATTACTTCAATAGTAGCTTTATATCACTTTGGGGACCTAAGTAGGACTGAGGCCATGTCATGGGTGCAAAGATTCTGTAATGATTTTAATATAGCTTATTTTGTTGCAGAATTTCTTTTCATTTCCTTAAAACAATAGAGACATAACTGATTGTATAATCTTATTTTATTCTAGGTCCCCTAAAAACCCAGAACAGAAGATCATTAAAAGAGTGATTGCTCTTGAAGGAGATATTGTCAAGTAAGTACTTACACTGAGTTCAAGTTATAAATTCTGGAATTTTGTCAAGTTTTAAATCATGTTCCTTGGGAAGTACAACTCAGTTCAAAGAGGACCAGAGCTTTGGAGACATCCCAAATGAACTGGTACATCTTTAGCGAGCATCTCCAACTATTTCAGGATAGAAGGCACACAGAAACTTTTGATTACATTATCATCCTTTTTTTTTTTTTT